CAAACTTAATACTAAATTTTTAATTATTTATTTGTTGTCTTTCAGCTGTCATTCCTTTTTTTATGTCAGATTATTTTGTTTTGAAAATATTTGAGAAGTATATGACTTCACTTTCTACTGGTAAGTTGAGATAAAATTTTTACTCAGAAAGATTGTCAATGTGAATTAAGATTTTAGTTAAATATTCTAAAAACTTTCTTAAACTTTCTATTGTCGTTTTAGGAGTAATTTAATCTTATTAATCACATAAAAAAAGGGAGGAGCTTTTTTAAGATTTTTTTTAATTCAGTGGATCCAGACTCTAATAAAGTAGGGGGGAGAGCAGTTTTCAGGTCTAAATCATAAAACTTTTTTGGTTTTTTCAGAATATTTTTCAGAATATTTCTGTTTTAATCAAAATAACTATGAAATTACGTCATATTGACATCGTAACAGTTCGATATTTTTTGCACCACAAAAATTTATTAAAACTTCTCATCACTTTCAAACAGCCTCTCTAATTTACTTCCATTTTCAAACAATATATTTTGTTAAATATATAAGTTTATAAAAAAAAATTATTTTAAAAATATCAAATGCAGGGGATGGGGGCCATTCCCTCTATCAACTCCCTTATGGATCCGCCCTTGACTAATGGAACAACCTATCCCCACAAATTTTTAAAAGATAATAAGATACATAAAGGGTTGAAACTTTCAATTGTAAAGCGTGATTCATTTTTATTCACACATTGCCCCCAGGACTCTTTTTTGCATGATTTTCACTTTGTTAACTTTTATTACTTTTGTTTTCATTTTTTCATTATTGAGATTAAAGTTACTGAGCTTTGATGCAGATAGAGATATTTATGATATTTTTTTTACATGATATTATTGATTAAGGTTGATTGATTATTATGTACAATGGTGTTTTGTATTGTAGAATTTGGTAAATATAAATGCTTCATAATTAAAAATTCAGGTAAGTGATCACTAATACTAATAGGTGAAGGAGGAGTTACATAGCAAACTTTCAATAAACGCGTTTAAAAGTTATGGCCATATAAAATTTCTTTCCCTCCCTCTTCTTCACTAACAAGTTTTTATGCTGAAATAAACATTTTAAACCAGTGCCACTGATTATATTGAATAAAGGAGAGCTTGTTTGAATTAACAAACTTAGAGATTTTGTTGCTTGTTATGTTAATGTACTCAGAATGGTAGTATTTATCGGGATATAATTAAAAATCTCCAACCATCCATTTTACTCCATTTTCATTGTTTTTTTTATTGATGTAATAAGGTTTAATTGATGACACTGATGTGATGTAAGGTAACCAATAAAAACTAGACTGTGATGTAAATACCAATAAAAACTAAACTTTTATTGATATTTATCTTACATCAAATTTTACTCTTAATAGCAAAAATATTTTCATTATCGCATATTGTGCTTTACACAAAACGAGATAAGAATTTTTTTTATAATGAAAGTGTCTTCTCCGAAAGATCTTTCAAGTGCCTTTTTTTCTGCCGAATAAAAAAATACTTTATGCGCCGGCATTGTTATGTTGTTTAACAAAAAAATGTTTAATATTTAAAGGCCAATGTTTAATTAAAATGATATAATCAAAGGACCTGACAAGCTTAGAAATATAAAATGAATTTGATTTAAAACTTTGATAGGTATATGCAGAAAGAGTAATGCTTCTAAAGGTTTTATTTGTTTTACTTATTTTCCACTTTGAATAACAGTATGATATTTGAGTTGCGTAAAAAGATAATTTTTAAAATAAAGTTGAAAAAATTGAGATTTTACTCTCTCTCACCTAAAAACCAGCACAATTTAGACACAGCAGTTTAGAGACAATGCTGAAGCAGTCTTGTAGAGTGTTTATAGTACTGCAGTTATAATGTTAAGGTGGTACATACCTAAAAAAGTTCAAAATTTAAATTATCATTTTTTCTGTTCGATTCGACATTTGCTGATTCTAAAAGTAAGATAAAAATTAGACTAAACATCGTCTAAAATAGTTTAGTTTAGCATTTGAAAATGTTTATAACTTTTAAATTCCTTAGCAACGGTCTTAGCAACCAGAGTGATACCTCAATTTATTTTATTTCCTATCCTTATTTTCTATCCTAAAAGCTCAGAACAATAAAAAAGGGTTTCGGTGATAGAAATATTGCTACAGAAGGTGAAATGTATGCTTCTGGAACTTTTTAGATTTTATAGTAATTGTTTAGATAAGTTTTTATTTTTTTAATGAGTTTTTCTCAGATTCACATTTTTTCTTTGATCCTAAATAACTTAAAATCTGTTTTGTCAAATTTATTGAAATTTTCAGAATTCATTCTTTACATAAAAGTCTATGTTCTAAACTAAAAAAATATTATAATTATTTTTTTCTTATTTTTATATGCACTTTTGTACTTCTTTTTAATGAAAATTACTCAAATTATTGTAATTGCGCAAATTAAAGTTATACTTTTGATTTATTAATTTTTTTTTTTTTGTTTAGAACATGTATTGCACCATTATTGATTAGTTTGCAAAGTTTGATGTAAGTATCTTTTTGCAATCAAAAAATATTGGAAACACTGGAAAAAAACTTATTGGAAAAAAAAATATGCATAATTATTTTTCAGAATAATTATTTTTTTTAATTTTTTTAATTTTTTTTAAATTTGTAATTTTATTTTAGCCAATATAAGTTAAAAAGACATAACTAAGAACCAATATTTTATGATATGATATTTTGAGGTATGTACCATGAGAAGGCCAATTTGGAAATTTGGGGCCCTTTTGCAAATACAAGGAGTTTTTTTTTTTTTTTTTGGTAATACCTAATGGAAAAAATTTTAAAGATTTTAGCGCTCTAATAGCTGGTTTAAGAGGGGAAGGGGGGAAGCCTCCAACCCGGCATTGTACTTCTGCGTTGAAAAGTGAATCCTGTATAATTGGATGTGTTTAAATTTAATAAAAAAAGAAGATAACAATGAAAATATTTCAAATAAGCTGAACGAGCATAAAAAATGCATTCTAAAAAGTGATTATTTTATTAAAAGAAAAGTTAATAAAAGAATAGGAAAAAACTTTTATTACTATAAAAATTTTTACTACTAGAAACCTAGTAGTAAAAATTTTTTACTACTGAAATGAACATATTTTATACAAAAATAACAGTTAGAAAATCAATCTCTTAGAAACAATCTTAGAATAGATGGTCCAGAAGAAAAACCCTTAGAAAGTAAAAATGTAGTGAAAGAAATCTTTAGTAAATATCTCTAAATATCAAGGGAAGTGTTTGTTGAAAGGACCATTCAAATCGGTTTAATTAAAGATAAAAAACCCTAGAACAATATTTCTGAAACTCTTGAATTTTCAAGATACAATTTCAGTTTCAGGTTTCTTGAGCCTGAAATTAAAAAACAAGTTTTTAACTAAAAACTTTGTACATGACGAAGCAATAAATTTTGAAATGGTGCGTGTTTAAATTGCTAAGAATATTTTACTAAACAATTTTTAAGATAAATTTGATTGCCAATATATCGAAATAGTAACTTTTAAAAGTAAAATTTGAAACTTTAAGAAATAGTTTCATTGCAATACACATAAATGTTAGAGATCTTTGGTCAAACTAAAACAGTTCTAACAGATTTCAATTACTTATTTAGTATGATTTGCTAACATAAACATTCTGATGAATCATCTCAAACGCATTCAATGTTTCAAATTGCTTATTATAACTCCTAGGTTAGACAACACAGTTATTGAACGAACCCAATTGTTCAAATTATTTAAATTGGTGTGCTTCTTGACGAGAATTTACCATGGAATTCTCACATAAATGCCATTAATACAAAAATCTCAAAAAACATTCAAAAAACAGCAGGAGTTTATCTATCATTTAAAAATTTAAAACTTCATTATTTTTTCTCTATACACAGCTATCTATCATACACCCCGATGTTGTCGGCTCTGTATTGTTAAAACTTGTAAAAACAATGAACTTATAAAAATATATGGGAAAAAAAATACCTACTGAACGAAAAGTAAACAAAAGGGGAAAATGGATTGCAACGTATATTTGAAATGATCAAGCGATTAAAATAAAAAAAAGACCTCTTAACTACCGATGTTCACAACGATATTTTTACAAATTAGATAACCCATAAAAATTCAAAAAATCTTTCAAAAAGTAATAGACCACCCGAAGGTAAAATTAGCACATTTTTTATTTACTTAAAAAATTTCCTCAAAATTAATAATGAGGGAAAAAGAATTTCTTTAATGAGAACCTAAACATCTTCAACAAATATGCAATTACATTTTTTCAATAATATCTTCCAAAGCTACCTGGGTGATCCTAAACTCCAACATTGCAATAGTTGACCGATGATTAAGTGGCCGTGACGCAGTGGTTAGTGCTTGCTTTAGAAGCAAGAGATCCCGGTTTTGAAGCGATCTCTGGGCATATTTCGCGCCACTGGTCAAGACGTATGCGTGAATTTCCTATTTAAATGCTGTTCCGAGGTGCTCTGTGACAAGACCGTTAGGTCTTCTTGGGGCAACTAAATAAATGAATTTTTTTAAAAAGGTAATATATGACAATTTTATTTAGAAACTTCCATAAAAGCAGGAACCAGTAAACATACATAAATAAAAGCAGGAACCAGTAAACATACATAAATAAAAGCAGGAACCAGTAAACATACATAAATAAAAGCAGGAACCAGTAAACAAACATAAATAAAAGCAGGAACCAGTAAACATACATAAATAAAAGCAGGAACCAGTAAACAAACATAAATAAAAGCAGGAACCAGTAAACATACATAAATAAAAGCAGGAACCAGTAAACAAACATAAATAAAAGCAGGAACCAGTAAACAAACATAAATAAAAGCAGGAACCAGTAAACATACATAAATAAAAGCAGGAACCAGTAAACAAACATAAATAAAAGCAGGAACCAGTAAACATACATAAATAAAAGCAGGAACCAGTAAACAAAAATAAATAAAAGCAGGAACCAGTAAACATACATAAATAAAAGCAGGAACCAGTAAACATACATAAATAAAAGCAGGAACCAGTAAACATACATAAATAAAAGCAGGAACCAGTAAACATACATAAATAAAAGCAGGAACCAGTAAACAAACATAAATAAAAGCAGGAACCAGTAAACATACATAAATAAAAGCAGGAACCAGTAAACAAACATAAATAAAAGCAGGAACCAGTAATCATACATAAATAAAAGCAGGAACCAGTAAACAAACATAAATAAAAGCAGGAACCAGTAAACAAACATAAATAAAAGCAGGAACCAGTAAACATACATAAATAAAAGCAGGAACCAGTAAACAAACATAAATAGGAATATAATCTGATATATCAGAGCATATTCTTATACTTGAAACTTATATTAAGAATTTAAACTGCAGTTTGACTTAACAACGAACAACTGGAAACTGTGATAAACTTGCTGAAAATAAATAAGCCTACAGGCATTGAGACGATTTGCAGTATTATAGTTGTAAATGTTTTTTGGTAATAAAACATAACCGTCTTATTTAAACTTTTCTGGTAAAAAACAAAATTTTTATTTATTTAAGTTTTTTGCTTTTTAACGAATGTTGTAGTTTGATCATCTTAAATATATAAAACACCTTACCATATCCAAAGTTTGTCAAATCTGTTGAAAAATTCTAAATGAGCTGTATTACCATTTCATGACGTCATTAGTAAAAATTCTTCAATCTTAAAATTATATTATTAGTTAAATTATTAAACAATCATTCAAAATGGCAGTTCAAAATGTCTGTGATCATGAGCAAGTTAAGGTTTAAAGTACTGAAAGAAATTTTTTTAGACAATAACAACGAGTTACAATGCATCTCCAAAGTATAATGGCAATCAACTTTGTATTTTTTTAAATACTTTTTCATTTTTATCAAACGGTAATGACCTTAAACATTTCTTCACTATTAGTAAAGTTTACACTTTTATGAAAAATATTTTGCAAAATAAGTCCCGGTGCAATGCTTTGCAGATAGACAGATATTTGTAAATTCTTGAATCCCAAATATTTTAAAACCAGTAATTTATTTATGCTTCATAGATAAAAAAAAAACAACTTTTAAACATGTTTATTTTTTTTAATTTTAGTGAAATATGGATTTTCAATACTATTTGTAAAAGATCTGTTTAATTTTTTATAAACAAATAATTTAATTTCATTGTCAATTATTTTGGTGGAAATTGGTTATTTTTTATAAAACAATAGATAGATTTTTTCAAATCCAAGCCATGTGTTGTTTTATATGTTCTATCAATCAAACAACGTATAAGACTAATTTTACAACAATAGGGAACAAAACTGATGTGGAAAGCAAAACAGACTTATTGATAAGAACATCTAAAAATGCAATTTGATTATCTTGTTCTTTTTCTATAGTAGATTTTAAGTTTTCATGTTGTTTATTAAGATGTTTAAATAATTCCTGAGCTTCAAACTCTGAATTAAAAATAGCGATAATATCATCCTCATAATATATGGAGAAAGAGCAATTACTAACTCATTTTTGTTTGTAAAAACCCAATAAAAATATTAGTTAAAATAAGCGCTAAAGGTGAACCTATTGCAATGCCATCTAACTGATCATAATATATTTAGATAAGAAATTTGAACTGGATGTTGAGTTTTGAAGTAATTTTTTGAACTGAGCTTTAGAAAAATATTTTAAACTTGTTTCATCTTTAAAGTATAAATCAGTAGGTATATTTATAGTTTTTAAAGAGGAACTTTGGTAAACAAAGTTTCAACATCATAGAAAACTATATATTTGTTAGTTATATCAACTTGTTTTAATTCCTCAACAAACAAAGAAGACTCAGTGGTGGAAAAAAATGTTCGTGAATAAAGAAATAGTAAATCAGAAAGATGTTTGACAAGTTTATAATTATATTTCCCGATTGTTGAAATTATTGGTCTAAAAGGTGGTAGAGAAGAATCTCAACTGAGTTTGTGCATCTTAGGTTAAGCATAGCTTCTTGCTGTTTGTGAGCCAACATGATAAATTTTATTGTAAACGTCATTTTCTATCATTAAATATCACAGTCCATATAACAAAGTATATATATATATACTATGTGGGACAAAAAATAGTGCATATATAAAAATATATGCACTATATCAAAGTATAATAAAAAATTCTTAGCACAGTAATTGCAGATTTAAATCACAAAATACAAAATATATATATATAAAACTTTTTTTTTTTTTTGCACTTTGTGGTTTTAATCTGCAATTACTGTACTAAAAATTTTTTTATTATACTTTGATTTCACTTTAATCAAACTGAAGTAGTTGATTATTTTCAAAAAATGTATTTAAGGTCCCTTTTAAAGACATATTTGTGACCAGAGAAACAAGATTGGTTCAAAAAAAAATGCACTATTTGTTGTCCCACACTAATATATATATATATATATATATATATATATATATATATATATATATATATATATATATATATATATATATATATATAT